AAATTGCATACCCTGTTTATGACAAGAAGCTCGAAAAACCATACCCTGTTCAGCGGATCATCCCCGTATAGTTCATATATGGGAGTACCCCCCGGGCAAATGTGTTTTTTTCATCTAGGTGTTTGTTGGCTTTCGGCCATCAAATTTTCATAGTGGGGAGCCAAAAACCTAGACGTCTTGACTGCGTTAGTCGAGTAATTTATATGGAAATTGTGCAAGAGTGTTAATGGAAGCAAAGGAAAAAATCTTATTCGCACTCAAACGATATTGCTTACTATCAATAACGTGACATTTTGGAGTTGACTGGGGGGCAACTAGCGGATGCTAAGTCAAAACATGTCAAAATAAGTCCTAAAAGTATTGTATTTGACTATTTCTACGACATGAAACCAGAAAACAAGAGATCAAAACAACCTCCAAGATTCTACAAGCCATTAAAAACGCATCTATTACTGGAAGTGACGTCTATTGATAGCAACCTATAGATACTAGAGGCGTATCCATGATAAGTGTCCTTGTCAGCACTAGAGTGCAGCATATATTAGCCAGTAGGTAAAGTAAAGTACCTATATTTAACGTCGGTAGTTCCTACAGTTGAAATTCAACTGCTAAACTGCTATCAATGGAAGCCGACGGTGCGCACTTTACCCCCTCTCTCCATTAGTGCTGAAGCTACACGGATTAGAGAGAAGTCGAAACAGACGTGCAGATCTTAAGGATCGAACCGTGGAGCTCAAGCTTTGAAGGTCGCGCACTAACCAACTAAGCTACGCGTGATTACAAAATTAATTACCAATTTGGAATTTAAAATTTGATTTTTGTGAAGGGAGGAGAAAAATATTTCCAGAGAGCTTGCCGTTTATTAGAAAGGGTTCACTTTCTTCCACACTACTAACCAAGGCGATCCTAAAAACCCCTTATCTCCCCCCTCCCCCACCCCCCTCCCACTTCGCTCAAATTTGCATATCCCACTACACTAGCTTTCCTAGGCAAATGTCTCGATTTTGCTTTCTGTACTGCTCACGTTTGCATGTAAAATACGTCGCGGCTCGTTTTTCCAAACGCATCCCACATGGAAAGGAGTGACTACAGGTGTTTAGTCATCAATCACTCAAGTGTCATACCGAGTTTGCTGGTCATAGCAAGGGGTTAATCATCTACGGTCTAGGGGCCGACTAACCTCTCCCTTAGGCTTCGGCCGAGCTTCCTGATCAGTCTGTAAATCTCTGGATAGCGGTGTCGGGGTCGAAATCTCCGGCGTAGCCGTAAATGCTCTGCGCTGCCATACGACGATTCAGCACTCGATGTCTGGAAGTATGGTCCTGATTTCATTCATCAAAAAACACAAAGAAAGGCATGTCCTTCAACCAGGGGCGTAGCGAGGACCTAGGAGCTGGCGGGGCACTGACCCCCGCCCCCCAAAATTACTCCTCCCCCCATGAAACAAATAAACGAATAAACGCGCAAACAAAAAAGAAACAAATTCGTATTGGTATAAACTGATTTATACAGCGCACCTTCCTAGGTTGCAATAATCTATTTTCCTCTTTCGTTTTGGTTTAATGTTTTGTTTTTGTTTTTGTTTTGTTTTTTTTGTTTTTTTTTTCGAAAAAGTTGCTTAAAAATTTGCCCCCCTCCCCCCTCCCTACGCTACTGCCTTCAACAGATAAACTTATATAAAGATCATTTGGGAAAGGCGCGGGAAAAGCATCCTTATTGTGCATGCGCGTTCAAGTTAAAAACCATCTACGTACCCAAACCCTTCTCAGGTTCCTAACTAAAATCGAAAAAAAATTCCCTTTTTCGCGCGCTTTCCTGACTCATAAACTTGTCCAGTACTGGACGAAAGACACCACGCGCAACACTGCTGATCAAACTTTTTTGACATCGCTGTAGAAAATAGACTATAATATGTAACTCAACTGAACTATGAATATTTTTTATTTTTATTTTTTCAGAGATTTGTTTCATAAACCACATAGAAAAATTGTAGATAGCAGAGAAATTCTACTTAGGAACAACATTCCAAACTTTTCCCGATTTTGGGCTTCCTGTGCTGTAAGAGAAAGATTTACTTCTTCGAGGTTTTTTTTTTCGTATTTGAATTATTCTACTTTTTTGAGACAATTGAAACGAAACATGATAAGCCTACTACTCCCTTAGAACAAACAAAGGACAGATGTATTAAGATTCTTAAAGATAATATTCAACAATTGTCGGGGAAAATGGGACAAATGGTAAGATGAGTAGGATACACTAAATGAAAAAAACGAAGAAAAAAAAAACGCCAACAAAATGAAATAATTTTCTATTGCAATATTTTTTATTTTTTGCCTACAAAATGTCCCTTTGATTGTTACTTTCCTAAAATCGTGGAATTCCTATAAAATTTCGATTATTTTCTGGATAATTTATTATTATCAATACAATTTCTCATGCTTTCTCGTATAACTAGCAAGGCACTGGATTAATTAGGAACAATTTTGGTTATCAAGCTGACAAGCGTTACACGGGACGACTTGAAATGACAATTTTTCCATGAGCAGAGCAACAGAGCGTTTATTTTTAGTATTTTTTAACGAAAACGCCATGTTGTACTACTCAACTTTTAGCGCAAAAATATTTCATCTTACACCGAGGTTTTGCACTACGCTGTCACGCCAATAATTATCTTAAAATCTTCCCGTATGTTATTGATGGTTTTCACGGCGGCTATGTTGGAGGAACTTGTCAATGAATTCTTGTCAATGAATTCTTTTGTTATATCCTCCAACATGGACACCGTGTCTTTTGTTATTTAATTCTCTTGGTTGAAAACCATCTATTGACTTAGTGTTATTGATAAGCCCTATTTCCCTTCCTCGTATAAGAAACATCATCAATGTAGAAATGAGTTTAGCTCGGTGTAAAATACCACTACCGTTCTAGTCCCATTTCTCATGCATTCGGTCAATACCGCTGTGTTTTAAGACTGAAGACTCATCGCCACAGGCTTAGCCTCGCATAAGACCAAATCATTCGCAAACGTCAACTGTAATGTAAAGAATGTGCAGCTTGAAAAATACCATTTTTTGAAATCCCACGGACTTTTAATGGTATCTGTGAATAGCTGACTTGTAAACGAGGCTAAGGCTTTAAAAAATGAGTCCGCAGTCTTATAAAACAGCAGTATGCATTGAATGCGAACCTGGTGTATTTTGGTGTAGGGCTATTGTGACTGTCATATAGAATATTACACCAAGGTAAAGCCGTAAAGTTGAATGTGGAATTTGAATTACGAATTATTTAACTTCAAGAAACATTAATTTTCAGAGGAAGGATGTTCAGCAAGGATGAATCTAGAAAAAATCTATAAAAAAATCTCCAGCCCAAAAGTGAAGGCTACCTTTATTCTTATTACATCCAAAATTCATCCTGTCCCCTCCCCTCTAAAAACTGTTTCTCCAATTACAGATTTACATTACTGAGTTACAATATTTTCATAGGTTTGTGTTGAATTGATCCCCAAATACATTAGTATTGCACATAAGCTACTGATATGTGCTAGATTTAATTTAAATTTCAATAAATATGAATGAATTGTAATCTCATTATTTCACCAAGTGATCCAGCATGAGTACAATAGTTCCCCCCCCCTCCCCACCCCCAAAAGTTTAAATTAGATCAATCTTGAAAGCAATTATTTCGCCAGCCATCATATTATAAATACATTATTTCAAGGAAGTGTGCTTTCCATGGCGATTATTCAAAGTTATTTTAACTTTCATTCTCGGCAGCAATGATTTTAAGAAAGGGTACTTATGTGTCTTGATACCAGACCTGTACAAGTCCTTTCTGGAGCACTCGGTACCAGTCCTTTCTGGAGCACTCGGTACCAGTCCTTCTCGAATCAGTAAGCCCCAATCTCTCTGACTTACTCGTCAAATTTTCTCCACCCCTCTCCTACCGGGCTTTATTTGTTGCTCCGCTGTTCGAGTCGGTGTTTCTAGAGGCGGCAACGTAAGAGAAGAGACAGAGAACTGCATAGCATATCTCGTTGCACTACAAATGAAGAAAAATCGTTGTTTAATATGGATGTTTTGTTAAGTTTTTCTGTACAAAGTTTTCTGGTTTTCCCCCTTCGAAAAAAAATCAACATTATAGCTCACGGTTGTGTATTTGAATTACAGAAGAATGGAGTGAGCATAAAAAAAAAACACGTGAGGTTGGGAGAGTTCAGTCAAAATGTTCACCTTACTGCGCGTGCGTTAAAGATTGAAGCCGTAAAGCGAGCAGAGGATGAAAGGTAACTTTTTTTTCTACGTTCACTTACCTTTTCAGATTTAAATCGATGATCTACAGTTTGTTGAGTTGCAGGAACTAAAACCAAAAAAAAAGACAAAATGTGAGTATCCAGACCTCCATAAATTTTTTTTTTATTTTTTGAGTTCCCAAATTACCGCTGTGTTTCTTGATTAGAGCAGTTTTCGCATGACTGTGAAAAGCTCAGTGCCGTAACGTGCCGTGCCGTGACCGTGATGCTTTCTAGTATTTTAATTTGGCTGACTCTTTTCACGCGCAATGTGATTGGTCTGACAGTGCCGTGACCTTGGCGTGACCGTGTCTGCGCCGTGTTTATGCCGTGTTCCGTGTATTTGATTGGATGGAGACTAAACTCTCGAGCAATGTGATTGGTCTGACGTATGCCTTGCCGTGTAACGACGGTGTTCGTGCCGTGAGCCTTTCATAGTCGTACGAAAACTGGTCTACAAGCTCACTTACTCATTTAGCCTCACTTCAGCAAATATTCATAATTACCAACGGTAGAATAAATAACGCACAGCTTCAACAATTACACTTTAAAATTCCACGGACCTTCACTGGAACACATGAATATTCTCTACAAATAAAGGCTTACCCTAAAAAAACAGAGCATGCAAACTGGAGTATTTAAGACCACTTTTATGAAAAAAAATGTAGAAGACTTACCAAACTCGTCAAGGACGAAAACGCCTTTCTGCGTCGAACAGTTTCTGATGTGACAAAGATCGATGTGAATCTAGCGGGAGAAACAAACCAATCATTATCACGTGATATCACTGTCAATCAAAATGAAGTGGGATTGGGTTCTTTAATAATGTTGTCTCATTTCAAGACTCTTGGGGAAAGATTCGTTGAGTTTTTTATTATTATTTTGAACTCTGACAAAGATTGCGTCTACGCTAAAGAGTTTATGCTACAACATAAAATACTTGAAGCTCCAAAGATCTTAAAACTGATCAAAACACTGAAGACACAAAGTTGCCATGGAGAGCATCGCTCAAAGGCACATCTGTGGTACGCAAGGCTTCACATATCAAGCGACACAATTGATCTAATAGATGACTTGCACTAAGAGGTCACGTGATCAAATCGGCCATTGTGGCTGGCATTCTACAGGGTTTTAGGTATGCGAGAATGTAAAAAAAGATGGCGGATTCGGGTAGTTTTTTTGGTGACAAAAGGTAAGTTAGCGCACTAAATAACTATAAAAATCCTCTTTTCTTGCAAGAAATATATTCTTAGTAGATATCTAAAGTTAATTTTTGCTATTAACTAGCCAGGAAGAGAAAAAATATGGTATTTTTGCAATAGGATGTGAAGACCTACGAAGTGTTTAGTATCGTTTTGCTGGCTTCATGACCTCAAAACATACGATATTTTCCCTCTTCCTGGCGAATGAATAGCAAAATTCTACTTAAAATAACTATTAAAAGTATATTTCTTCCAAGAAAAATGCAGTTTTCAAGAATGAAGTTGAAATATACTTGAAAAGTTTCGACAAGAAGTCGTTGTTGGAAAGATTAAGGGGGAAATGGGTCGAGTTTGCACTGCAATGCATTCTGGGGCTGTTTTAGGGGACGCCATCTTGGAAATGTTCCCTGAAACTGCACCCCCACAATGTCAACTCGACACAATTTTTTCGTCAACCCCGACATGGCTAATGAGACATTGAGACACATATGCATGGAGTACTCACCCTCTTAGTCGCAAATTTGAGACCAATTCCTTCAAGAGTTACTTGTAATTGTCCCTTTTCGTTGGTTTCCATGTCCTGAAATGATAATGCGACGTGTTTGAGTTATATGGGGTGAGCAAATAGAATCTCGCGGGAAAAGGGGAGGGGGTGAGTAGGTTTAACAAGGATTTTGTCAAAATAAATGGGGTTTTCAGACAAGTAAAGGAAGGAAGGAAGGAAGGAAGGAAGGAAGGTAGGAAGGAAGCAAGCAAGCAAGGAAGCAAGGAAGGAAGCAAAGAAGGAAGGTACAAACAAACAAACAAATAAACAAACAAACAAAAAAGGAGAGAAAGGAAGGAAGAATAGAAGAAAGAAAGCAAGAGAAAAGGAAGAAAAAGGAGGGGATTGAAAATGAAAAGTTCACCTGAATTGGGAAACTACCACCCAGTTGAGGACCTAAAATAGAAAATAAAAGAAATAATTTAACCATTGTTTGAGGGGAAAAGAATAACGAAAATCAAAAGTTTAAATACAGGATGCATTGTGGACTAGCTAGGGTACAAACAATGCCATATAAGGCACGATGGACAACAAAAGATGTTTGCATCCAAGCTAGACCACATTGCACCATGATAGCTATCTCAGAAAAGGTCTGTTGAGCAAAGCAAACACTGGAAAAATAAAAATGATGTAAAACCACAAAATAGTAATAACAAAATAAAACACTGAATGAAAGAATGAATATCGTCCAGTTCGTCAGTTAGTCATTGTGTAAGTCGAGCAGTTGGTCGGTTCGGTCAGCTAGTTGGTCGGTGGATGGTCGTTCGGTCAGTCTTTTTTTTCTTTTTGACTCTTTTCTGTTTCCTGTACGTCTTCTCTTGTCTGTCCTTCTGTAACATATTTAGACTTAAAATATATTAGCAAGGAAAGGAAAGTAGAATGTATAGGTATTAAGTTGTATGCTGCAAAATGGACTAAAGATAAATTGTTATAATTCATTTGACCCAGTGCAGTCGTCTTGTCAAAAAAAGTGATGTTTGTTTTAGTGCGAGAAAAAGTGATACTCTTAAACAGTGCTGCAGACATAAAGACAACAAGCATGTCATTGTAAAAAAACACAAACAAAAAGGCAGAACAGAACAAGACAAAAACAAAAGTATCTTGCACAATTAAATATTTTGGTCCTTCACTGGACTGCCTAAGGTATCATCAAAATAGTTTGTTCACTGGACCACCTGTAGTACTGTTCAAATATTTCTTTCGTGACTTCATCTTTTGGTTTCTCGTATTAACTTTTTATGCAACACTCAGTTCAGGATGGCCCAATAGACTCTAGTTTGTTGCTTATCTCGCATGTTGTAAGGCAGAAACAACCAAGATTTAGTTTCCCAAAGGAGAAAATGTCTATTGGCCTCGTTCTGCCCAACAAAATGGCTGCCATCAAGCAGCTCCTTTAATGCGAATTTTCTACTCGGTGGGAACCCTATGTGATGCCACACCCATTATCACAAGTGTCTTAGCAATTCAGATTTCATTATCTTATCGTTAAAATAGACCTCTTCGGCTTGGGGTAATGTTTCCCATTTAAGACCACGTGTCACTCACTTGAGAATAAGATTCTATGTTTGAGCCATATCTATATTCATGTGTCTTCTCATGTGCAACCGAGCGCAAACCTTAAACAAAGAAATGATACTCTAGGGAATGACATGTGGTCTGAAATGGGACAGCATTACGTCAGAGCCGAAGAGGTCTATTAGGGTTGAAACGAACCTTTAAAATATTAGAAAAGAATAAACACTTATTTAACAGTATATTTTTGCATATGATATAGTGATGAGCTCAATGGAAGTATATGCACTGTCTATTGTTCTCATACCTTTATTAGTTGCTTGTACTCTTTCAGCTGCTCTCTGCATACTTTCCTTCATGCAGTAGTAAAGTGCTTTGCACTAAAGATGAAAGATGAATCAAAACGAAATATCAGTGAAGTCAAACCTTACGACGCTTACTTTACGTGCCGTTTCCTTCTTTTTTTTGTTGCTGTTGTTTGTTTTGTTGTTTTTCTCTTTGTTTTCTTTCTTTCTTTCTTCTTTCTTTCTTCTCTTTTTCTTTCTTTTTTCTTTGTTTTTCTTTGTTTTTTCTTTGTTTTTTCTTAGTTTTTCTTTCTTTTTTTCTTTCTTTTTTTTTCTTTACGGATTTTTTTCCTTCCTCAGTTCTCTTTTTCCCTACTTGCTA